ATAAAAATGCATTAAGGACATTTCAAAATACTTTGCAGTTAAAGTTTAAACAAAAGTAAGAGTTAACCACACATATACCTCGATGCACTTGTGTCTTACACACAGGGGTTTATTTTCATTTAAGATTTATGAAATCCTGGTTAATAGAAATTTTTAAAGAAAACCAAGAGGATACATTAGTTCTGTATTTAAGTTTTTCTTAGTTTTCAGTTATCTAATACTCAGATTTTTTCTCTTCCTTGCCTGCCTATTGCTTTCTTTTTTTTTTTTTTTCAAAAAGATAGGAACACTGATAATATAAACCACATAAGCTCCAATAACTAAAAATAATACTGCAGTTTTAAATCCCTACTAGTGTGAGTTATTAAACAGAAAATAAAATGCTGGGCAAAAAGGTGAAGCACTAGGTCTTATTACTGATTTTTCTCTCAATTAACCTATTTTTCAGATTATTGAAATGCACAAAAATATAAGGGAATGTGCAAGTAAAGACTACTAATCACACCCAGCATCTTGTGCATGAAGTATCTTCCATATGTAAATGTATGCAGACCCAAGAATCAGATTTCACAGGCAGCCTTTGCAGACAGAATGATGAACTATGTCATTTGCAAGGTAAAAATCTATTTTATGCCCCTCTGAGATCTAAAGGGTCCTTCAGCAAGCTGCTCCTCACTATGGTGGGAGACCAGTGCTGGTAAGTCTTAGCAGGGTTTCACATGGAAGCCGAGGCAGGAAAGGATTACAGTCCTACATGCTACTGACCTTTCCACACTTTTTTTGCCCCCTAAGCACATATGGCACATCACATGGTGGAGGAGAGAACTTTGATCACGCAGCGCAAGAGGGAGGGATGCCTGGTCACTAGGTCACATCAGAGAGGCAAAACCCCCATCTGGCAATGAAAGGGGATGCTGCTCTCCTCAAGTGACACCATCTAAAACATTGCCACTCTCCAGGTCTCAGCCCAGCGTGGCACACAGCAGGAGTGACACCAGGAGGCTCTGTGCCACCACTGGTGCAGAGCAGCACAGATCCCAGGGACTGCTGCCTTACAGGATGCAGCTGGTGCTGACACAAGACACCACTCTGAGCACCAGTGTGGGACTGGGGAGGTCTAATCCTGACCTCCCTCAGTGCTGCCATGGGGACAGACACACAACTGAGGCACAGCAGCACCAGGTGGGACTCAAAGGAAAACGTCTCCTGCGAAAGCTTCGCCAAAACCCATCACAGCCTATGCTGGAAGAAACTTCCCAGTTCATGCAGTAATTCCGGTCCATAATTAACTGAAAATTAATTACAGAATCTTGAAAAGAGCATAAAACAAAAATGGGCCAGCGTACCTTCATAGAGCAGTTGCTCACTCTGAATTTCTTCCAATAATTAAGCCTAGCATATGTCACTGAGTTATAAAAATAAAAGAAAAATAAAACAAAACAACAAACAAAACACAATTCCCAAAAAAGTTTTGGAGTGTTCCTTGCTGAAGGGACATGTCTGCCTGCAGTACACACACACACTTCCTAGAAATGAGAATGACTGAACGTGCTCCTTGGCAACTTCAGCTTTGCAGAAATTACAGGTTGCAGATGCTTCTTGTAAAATCAAAACTGAAAAATGAGAAAATAACATAATTAGGTAAATTATTTGCTGACTTGATGAACAATTTTCTAAAGATTATTAGAGGATATAAAAACTTGGAAAATGCTCCAGTCTTTCAACAAACAAAAGGAGGAGGTAAACAATAAAAAGTGCCAAATTATTTTGGCTGAGCATTCGTGAAAAGGTGTATTCTGTATCACTGAATTACACGTGTTTTTTTACAAGGTGCTTAATCATGGCATGCTGCCACATATCAAAATCATATTTTTTTTCTAATTAAGAAAAAAACCTGCAGCATGCTGGGAAGTAGAAGGTATGCCATCAAAACAAACCTGTAAGGCTTTGACAGAGCAAATGAAAGCATTCTGTTTCACCATTATAAAAATATTGAGAAAGAATATAAGCAAAAGGAAAAAATCAACCCAAACTGAGAAAAAAAGATCAGCAGATCAATTGGAGATTGTGCAAAACTGTGCTGCAGGAAACATGGCAACACTATTTCCCATTTCCAGTTTTCCATGACAGAGATGAGTATCTTCAGTGACAGTAGGAAGACAGTCTCAAACTGCCAAATTACAACATTTGCTTCATAAACCTCTTGTTTCAGGAAGTGGGAGGAGTTGGGTGGGTGGCAGCTTGAGGTCTTTCACCCCACCTGTACATGGGGAGGGTGGCAAAGGACAGTCAAAGTCTTTTCCAGCCTGTGGAAGACAGGACTTCATTCCCTAGAGCAACAATTCTTCTACATCAACTGGAGGTTTGCTGTTTGTTGGGTCTTTTTTATTTAGATGAGAGGATAAAACATCATAGTTATGTACAAGTAGAAAATAAATGTCCATGGCTTCAGGGACTTGTACACATTTCAGCCCTGAGCTATGCTGATGACCCTTTTGCATATCATCTTACTGTGTTTCTCATGAGCCAAAGCCATCAGTACCTCTGATACAGTTTAGGGTTTGTGTTTACATTTTGCTTCCCTTTGCTTATCTTAGATCTACTGCACAAAGAGCACAGCACTGTGCAGTGTGACATAGCTTGAGAGAGTACTATGCTGCAAAAAGGACTTAACAAAATTGCATTTATAAATTCATTTTTCTGCAGCTCCTTACTGATCATACTGCCTAATAAAATAGTTGCCCATTTTGCATCTAAGTCCAAGATAGAAACAGGTAAAAGCCCATTTTCATTGGAGTAATGTATATTCTTGGCAAAACTAGCCTGATCACATGAATCACAGAATCAACCAGGTTGGAAGAGACGTCCAAGACTATGGCACTAAGTGCCACATCCAGTCTCAGCTTGAAAACCTCCAGGGATGGGGAATCCACCACCTCCCTGGGCAGTACATTCCAATGTCTGAGCACTCTCTCTGGAAAAAATCTCTTTCTAATATCCAACCCAAACCTCCCCTGGCAGAGCTTGAGTCTGTGCTCTCTTGTCCTGCTGCTGGTTGCCTGGGAGAAGAGACCAACCCCCACCTGACTCCAACCTCCTGTCAGGGAGTTGCAGAGGGTGAGAAGGTCTCCCCTGAGCCTCCTCTTCTCCAGGCTGAACACCCCCAGCTCCCTCAGCCTCTCCTCATGGCACTTGAGCTCCAGACTCTTCCCCAGCTCTGTTGCCCTTCTCTGTTCATGCTCCAGCACCTCAATGTCTTTCTTTCTTTTAATGAGGGGCCCAAAACAGCATTAAACGCACACCACTAATTAAAATTTCTAGCAGTCTACCAATCTCCCACACAACGGAACACTTTTCAATGCATTCCTCATTTACAGCATTCCATCCAAGTTATAAAACAAACCAAACCCCAAAGCACCTCCCTTTGGCAAAGTTTCCCTCCTGCCTTGCTTCCTTGCAGGGGACACTACATGAACACGTCCCCTGAAAACCACCAGGACATCACCATGATGAACTCATGACACTGCAGGTGAAGTGTCTTGTGCTGCTGTTTCAGAAGGCTATGGAGTCTGAAGGCAGCCCTATGTTTTGCTGGACTGCTAAGCACATATAGAGCTTGCAGGAGCTTCACCTGCACTGCACAGGCACATCCACACCAGCTGCCACTGGGATGCAGCAACATTTCCAGCACTCCAGAGAACTGACCTTCCTGCTCCACACATATTTTCAGCACCGTTTTTGGGGATGAAGGAGCTGCTACCATGGAGCTCCTGTTTCATCAAGCAAAGGTGCATTCTGTTTCCCTTGCTGGATTCAATAGCACAGATCAAACCCAAGGAAAAATCATCACTTCCCCCAGCATTCCACAATCTGGCTCCGTTTTCCCTTGGGAAAAAGAAATAAGGGGCAATGTAGTATCTCAAAATTGGGAAAGGGGTTGAGAGGGATCTTAACAGGGCTACTCTCCCTGAAAAAATAAGGTGTGGTTTGTTTGAGTATTTCTGCCAGGAGACAAGACAGAAAAAGAAGTCTGGGAAGCAGAAAAAGGTACCAGGCAGCAGGCAGGAACCAGGATTTTGCATATAACCTATGAAAGACAAGCAGCTAAATCTGTCTGTAGAATTAAACTCAGCTGCTAGGAGAATAGGTCCAGGAGGATAAAAGGCAAATTGTGATAGGAAATGATACCAGGAGGAATTAATGTGACCATGTTGTAATTTTCTGTACAGCGAAAACACTCTTCAGGGAACGGTCACTCTATGCATCAGGGAAAGGACCTGCAGCAATATCCAAACTCCTGTTCACAGACCACGTAATAAACATCAGAGTGGTGGGGAAAAGGGATTTGTAATACCATTTCCTCAGATGATGACTTGAAACATGATGCTCACTGAAGCACGGCCAGAAAAGTGTAGATATTGCAATTGGAGAATTAAAACAACAGAAAAACTATTATAAGTTTTGTCTTCAGATTGTTATCAAAATACTTTTGATAATTAACATGATAACTTTTTGCCTTTGTGTTGTTGGTATATGAATGATGAAGTAACATCATCAACACCATTGCATATCTAAACTGTTGCAGAAATAAATCAATGTAAATGCCAAAGAAGCCACAAAAAAAGTTGAAAGGTTTCACTATGTGTGAATTTGCTTTCGTGATGGTGCAAAATGTTTTTGGGTATTCATCCCAAAAAAAAGACAAAAAAAAAAAAAGCCATGCAGTACTTGAAACCTTCACACTTTTAGCTTATGATATTCCACTAAAATTACTGTCATCATAAAACACCCACTTTTCTTTTTTCTGAGCCATAAAATACATATCTCCCAAACCTGATTTAGAATGACAATAGAGTTTATTAGCTATCAAGCACTTCTTCAGGATAATTCCACCTTAAACTTTGGAGACTCTGCAGCTGCCAGAACTATAAAAAGGCTGCACATTTCCAATGTTTTCACCTAATCAAATTAAGAGACCAAACTATTAATATTCTGCTTACCTCCTAAATTCATTCCAGCTTGCAGACATTTCTGTAATCGACAGGCTGGGCAGTTCTTCCTCCGAATCTTATCAATTATGCAGTCATTCCTTCCCGCACACAGGTAATTGTGCTGTCCTGAATGAACCAAAAAAACAAATGCATTATTAGAGGCTGCATTTACATAATTCCAATTTGTTCCTCTCTGCTGTTTCGCAGTCCATTTTGAGAGTCTTATTAATGAAGACATTTCAAACTTCATTCTTTATACTACCCAAATAATCTTGGGGAGTTGTCATGGGTCTTTACTATGAGCATCTCTTCTTTTTAATTCAGGAAAGAGTTTTGGTGTGTCACTCTCAAGAGAGATCTCATTACTTTTTTTTCCTTAACAATACTGGAATTTTTCTTTCAGTGAAAAACAAATTGTTGGTTTGAGCTCTTTCAAATCTTCTTCAGTGTGCTGTATCACAGAGCAGTCTGACAACTCTAAGTTCATAGAATCATAGAATTTTAGGGGTTGGAATGGACCTCAGAGATTATCCAGCCCCAACCCCTGCCATGGGCAGGGACACCTCCCACCAGAGCAGGTTGCTCAAGGCTTCAGCCAAACTGGTTTTGAACACTGCCAGGGTTGGGGCAGCCACAGCCTCCCTGGGCAACCTGGCACAGTGTCTCACCACTCTCACAGGAAAAAACGTCTGCCTAAGATCTAACCTAAATTTCCCCTCCTTCAATTTGTGCCCATTGCCCCTTGTCCTGTCCCTGCAGCTCCTAACACAGATCCCTCTGCAGCTTCCCTGGAGCCCCTTCAGCTCCTGGAAGGTGCTCTGAGGTCTCCACACAACCTTCTCTTCTCCAGGCTGAACAGCCCCAACTCCCTCAGCCTGAGTTTTGGTTCATTGTCATGCTCAAGAAGTTCAGGACATAAACCAGAAATGCACAGCAGAGGTTAACTTTGCCAATATATTCCTCTCTCTTCAACCAGCTCACCATGTGCCTGATTGCTGATTTCATCAGCTACCTTCTACACAGCAGAAGGTTTCTGAATGTGTTACCAAAACAGGCTTAAATCACAACTGTATTATTTCCTTTCTGTAAAGCCCCACAGAAGCACTCCTGAAGAGACAGCAGGTATTTAGCACACAACATTTAGCTTTGCCAATATATTCCTCTCTCTTCAACCAGCTCACCATGTGCCTGATTGCTGATTTCATCAGCTACCTTCTACACAGCAGAAGGTTTCTGAATGTGTTACCAAAACAGGCTTAAATCACAACTGTATTATTTCCTTTCTGTAAAGCCCCACAGAAGCACTCCTGAAGAGACAGCAGGTATTTAGCACACAACATTTAGCAGAAGGGAATAAAGAGGCTGACGTGTGACAACTTGGAGACTCCAGGGGAGGAACACAGGTGGAGCCAAAGGATGCAGTGTCTCAGGCAAGGGCACTACCACGTGGACTTTTCAAAGCTTGGTGCTCAGATCTGATGTGGAAGAATAAAGGAAGCCACAAGGGGTTGGTGTAGCATGACAGCAGAATCAAGGGAAGAAGATTATTTTAGCTGCCTTGATCCAGAGGTGGCACACAGGGATCTGGGGTGGCCAGAACAAACATGCAGAAACCCAAAAGCTGTGCAAATAATGGTAAAGTTGATGCCAATGACCAAAGGGAGCAGCAGCTGCAGGGAGGGAGGGAAAGCTCAGGCAGAGCTGCACTGAAAGAGCCAATACATGTGGGGAGAGGGAGCAAAGATGCAGCTCGACAAGGGCACGGAGCTGCTGTGAGACAGGAGGTATAAAATATGGCTGCCAAGATATTTTCCACAATACACATATACTTCCCAGGGAATGATAGAGAGGATATTCATGGGACACAGGAGACCTGGCTTCTGGTTTAGACTCTTTCAGGAATTTGCCTTAAAATGTCAGGTAAGTCATTTTCTGGCTCTGCACTGGACTACCCTTCACCCTTACCCAATGCTATCTATTTAGACAGTGAGCTGAAGCTTGGGCTGTTTCTTGAACCTCTTCACTGAGCATCTCACACAAAGAAAACCCATCTTATTCCCGTAAGCAAAGTGTTACTGTAGTATCACAAAGGAATCATCATTTAGATGATGCTTTAGATGTTAAAGAACAAGCAGATGGCCAAAGAAAGGGTTTTACTGAGGTTCCTAACATAGCACTGTGACACAGATGAAAAAGAATAAAGCATAGACAAAATAATTCATAACTAAGTTAAATCAGGCATAAAATCAAGGTGTACAACATACTGACAGCACCAGTACCTATCAGCTGGTCTGTGAGTAGGCCTGCTAATCAAGGAAAGGATAACCTTCTCAGCTAATTGCAAAATGGAAACCTGCTTATCACACAATGTTTATTTGATTGGGTGATCTATACAAAACCAGGTACACAAAAAAAGAGTCTAATTAATTCCTAGCTATGTTTTTGCTTCATACTAACCTGAGCACATCTCCTAAAGAACTATCAGCCAGACGGCATGAAAGTGACACTCAAGGAGACAACGAAAGCATTTAAAATGATGATATACAGCATAAAGGTAGTTTATATGCCCTTACAAATTCTGGCATCCTCCCATTTTTTTGTGGGGAGAGGGGAAAAATGGTTACTTTCTGCCAGGAATGCAGGTACAATCGCTGAGTGCTCGCACAATGTCCTTTGTACATCACAGAGTACTGCAATACCATTTTTAGGCTTCCACAGGCGGGTGCAGGCTATTAATATGACAAGTCAGCTCTAACACTGCAAAATGAACCCCATTGCAGAGCTACCCTGAAGGCAGTTTGCTCTACGAAACTGTACACCTGTTAAGTCAACATTTCTCACGACTGCTTAAAAAAAGCTAATGGGTTTAATAAAAAGAGGTTAACATTTATATACTCCAGGATAATGACTTGGGTTGCATTCTTGAATACTGTGGAAATGTTTATTTGATTCAAAAGCTGTCACAAGGTGGCGTCATAAGAAATATTCCCACAATAGCAGGATATTCCATAACCATAGAATCAACCCGGTTGGAAAAGACCTCCAAAGACCATCGAGTCCAACCCTACCATGGTCACTAGACCATGGCACTAAGTGCCACATCCAGTCTCAGCTTGAAAACCTCCAGGGATGGGGAATCCACCACCTCCCTGGGCAGCACATTCCAATGCCTGAGCACTCTCTCTGTAAAAGATCTCTTCCTAATCTCCAACCTAACCCTCCCCTGGCAGAGCTTGAGTCTGTGCCCTCTTGTCCTGCTGCTGGTTGCCTGGGAGAAGAGACCAACCCCCACCTGACTCCAACCTCCTGTCAGGGAGTTGCAGAGGGTGAGAAGGTCTCCCCTGAGCCTCCTCTTCTCCAGGCTGAACACCCCCAGCTCCCTCAGCCTCTCCTCATGGCACTTGTGCTCCAGTCCCTTCACCAGCCTCGTTGCTCTTCTCTGGACCTGCTCCAGCCCCTCAATGTCCCTCCTGAGCTGAGGGGCCCAGAACTGAGCACAGGATTCAAGGTGTCTGGTGGGATGGGGACTAGATGATCTCTAATGTTCATTCCAACCTCTAAAATTCTATGTTTCTTTGATAATGGGTCAGTATGTCCCATTTATGCAGAATGCACCTCACTAAGGCCCTACAACTTCAGAACCAACCCAAAAACCTGTATGTCTGAAATGGATGCAGCACTCTCAAGACCTCAAGGGCTCTTCAGGATCTCAATAAGGTGATGGAGACTGCCCAGAAAAGAGGCTGATGGTTTTGTGGTGCTAAGTCGCCAGCTCTTTCAAGAGATATATTGATTTGCTTGTGTAGTTGGTGTTTAGCTTGAGCCACTCGTTCTTTTTATCCTGTTCAATCACCCACAAGTGGGTTGGAAAGTGACAGAGTAGTCACCGAATTCTCATCTCCCATGTGCTAAATGCATTAAGATGAAAGCAATTTTTACATATGCCATCATTCAGCACACTCACACGAGCTAAATTCGGTTCCATCTAAAACACAGTTACAAAAGATGCGAGGGAAGTTCTCTGTCCAAAATAAATAATGAACAGGTACCACAGAGTGACGCACTAAGAAGAAAGTGAGATCTGTCCTATTAGCAGTAGAGCTAGAGGAATTTTGCAGTTTGCATTTTCCAGGTTATTGTGCCACTACATACCACGGAATAACACATCCAAGTGTACGTGAAAAAATGCTTTAATGTCTCTAACTCTCTCACCTCCAAAGACTCTAATTTTAGAGTTTTAGAGTCTTTTATAGGCTCACAAAAGAAAACAAAAAGGAAATATTCATGAAACTCAGTCTTCCCTCTTACCACATTTTCTTGAACAAGCAAAATTCAGCAGTAAAGGAGGGAATAAAAAAATTTTCTTTTATTTGCCCTATGCATTACTGCCAAAATGAGATTACAGCAGAAGTTGTGCCTTTCCCCATTTTCAAACTCTACCACAGTGACTGAGCCACCAGTCCCCAAAACTGATGTGCTCATACAAACTTATGCACATGTGCAGAGTACTGCTGCAGTCTTCAAGGACTGCCATAATTCCATACAGGTAGGGCTGCAAAAGGAACAGGATATAGATATTTCTTGGCAGTATTATTTCTGTTTCTGTCTATGGCAAAATTAGAAAATTACAGAAATTTCTGAAACATTCCACGTGTTTTCTCTTCCTCAGAAAAATTATTCCCTACCCTCTCCCCCCCACCCCCCCAAGCTTTTTGAAGTCTAAGTCAGGATCTGCAAGTCATTAATGAGTATTCTACATCTCTGCTCTCTTGTTAAAATAGCAACTACTATGATCAAATGTCAAATTTTGTAAGGAAAAAAAGGCACAGAGCTGGAAGAGGATCCAAAGACGGCTTAATTCAAGCCCACTCATGGTAGCATGGTAAGACTAGCTTAAGAGTTCAGGCAGGTTTTTCCTTTTCTTTATATTTGTATTAAAATCTTCTGAGGAAAGGTGTTCTGCAACTTCCCTACAAGCCCTGTGGGATTAGGCTAGTGATTAGCCACTCTTGAAGTTGTGTTTTTTCCCCTTTGCATTTCACCCAAACAGGAATATTTTGCAAGTGAAAGAGCTGTTCACACTCCTAAGACATCGAGAGCAATAGATCACCACCTTCTCACA